ACTCCCGCCATGCCATTTTCCGCCCAATAGGAACTGAATCATACTGTAAGCAACTTCCAAAGAATTGGCAACCCTTCTCAGAAGAAATCGCTCAGCTCAAAAATTCAATGCAATGATATAGAGTGCTCGAAAAAGGAAGACGAAGTGCTTCAGCTAACTACATCATTGGAAACCACTAGCTAAGATTTCGTACGAAATTTCGAGACCATAGCCTTTTTAATCATCAACAAACGATGGTCTTCTGGTCAACCGAAAAGCTACAACGAATTTTGTTAAGAACGGAGTTGTAGCGTTGTGCTAACAATAAGATTCGTTAACGTCCGAGAGATATTCCGCACAAATTGCGCTGCACTTCATAACTCGCTCTAAGAGTAGGCAAAAACTCACTCTTGCTTCATTAACGCGGCCACTTTGCCCTCGAACGAATGATTCTCGAAAACCTTGAACATCTCCGACTAGATCTGGATGGATACGAACATTCCTGTTATTTCTGAAAGTATTATAACAACAAACAACTTTTGGGAAAACAAGAGAACTAACTTTATGAAATAACTAATTGCACATGCTACAAAACTTCCAACGACGATGGTTAGTAAAGCCAAAGCTTCGTTGCTAAATCCTGGAAAAGAGATCAAGTGGTGAAATGTTTTTTGAATTGCGTATACCAAAGCCCACCTTCCACTATTTGCCCACTGGTGACATCTGTCATCATCAGGACGACTTCAACTAGCTCCAAGAGGAGAACAGCAAGTACGAACATGGAATCTGACCGAATGGAGGAGATCTTTCATCAACTTACTTTGTAAATAACATCCGGCACCTTCCATTCTAGTGCAACGTCGCGTCAATTTCAGGATGCTGCAACATTTGATTTTACGCCTGAACATGTAATGTAATTCTATCGCTCCATTTTTTCTCTTCAAACTTGGTTAAATGTTTATTTGACCGCTATCCCTCACTAAACTTATGTTTTCAGATGGAGGCAGTCAAACCAAAAAAGTCGAAACACAAGCAGAGAACATCGGCGCAGGAGCCTCCTCCAATACCTTCACGACCTGCAGTGGTTATGGGTTTACGATTGCCCGATGTTCCACAGCACGAACCAGTGAGGGCCAGCACTCCCGAGCCTGAGGAAATGTGAGGACTTTCATCTTCTGCAGAATTATCTCACAAAGACCGGGTCAAGTGGTTGTTGCGCAAGCGCCTAGACATCCAGTTCCCGCTTCGAAAAAAGTGAATAAACTGCATAATAAGCAGACATTTTTTGCGGCCAGCCTGTGCAATCATACAATGTCTCCATTTCCTTGTTGGTCCGCGCTAGCATAACAGAGCCAGCCTAGGCATGGTTTTTGGTTCGGCAGCACATGTAGTATGCGCGAGTCATATCAGATCTGGATGCAACCCGAAATCAAAAACAGTGAAACCCGCTCCCTGCATTATTAGATTTTGGCGGAGGTTAGGTAGTATACCCCCTAAGTACACTGTAGCCCAAACCCCACTTGCCATTTCATGCGCCAAGTCATGAAAAATGCTCTTCGAAACCTCACCAATGACGCCCACTCAGTTGAAATGGGCGGGGCTAGTGGAGTTTTGAAGCACATTTTTCAAGATTTAGCGCATGAATTGGCAGATGGGGTTTGGGCTACGGTGT